AAACTAGGATAGAAGCAAGGACACACAGATGGGGAATAAAGATGTTATACCGCATGAAGATTTCCAGGGAACAGAAGCTGAAAAGAGACAAAGATCTTATCCCAGAACTGACAAAGACTTCTAACTTCCTAATGTGAGAAAATAAATTTATGTTCACTGAAGCTACCTATTTGGGTTATTTCTGTTTTAACAACACTAAGAAACTGAGATAGAATTTTTAATGAGGCAATAAGAGGTTGATAAATGCTGCCATCGAGGCAATTTTGCACACATATACCAGAAGACATTTAAACACTTGCTCACAGTAGCACTTTTCATAATAGCAAAACTCATTAAAGAAGCCAACAACAGAACAGTAGATAAACTGTCATCAATGAAAAAAACGCACAATCATGAAAAGGAATGAGTCACACTGCCTGCACAACCTGAATTACAGTAATGGAATGATTAGTGAAACAGATGAGTCCTAATGTTCTATAAAACTTTCTTTACAAGGTTCAAAACCAACCAAACATTATTTAGACATATTTGAAAAAATTATTTTTTAAAAACCAGAGATAACACAGAATTTAGGACAAGTGTTGCCTCTGGAAGAGGAATAAAACGGAATGGGTAGAAAAGAGCACACAGGTAAACATAAATTATTTCTCAAGCTGGTTTCAGTTTGGGTGGTAGATTCATGGGTGTTCACATTATTTTTAAAGTTAATTATTTAAAATAAGAGAGCTCTGCAAGGGTAAAAGAAGAGAGCATGTTACATATGATTAATACTATTCTTAATAGTATTATATAGTATACCTAAGGCTTAAAAAAAAATGAATGTGAGGGAGCTCTGGTGGCCTAGTGACAAGAAGTTGCACTGCAATCCTAGAGGTATGTGGTTCGAATCCACCAGATGCTCTGCTGGAGAAGGAGGGACAATCTCCTTCTGTACCAATCAGATCTGATATGACAGTACACACACACACACACACAATAATAAAAGAATTTTAAAAAATTAAGAAAAAAAAGAATGTGACAACACTGATACATGGAAAACCTTATTTTACAAAATAAGTATTTTTAAAATATACTACCATAATAATTACATACATACGGCTTACTTTTACAGCTACCTAATATTAATAAATATTAAAAACGTATGCCAAAATAGTTATATTTAGATGCTAATGATAATTTCTGTTTTACAGTTGTAACTGTAAATAAAGACTTCTAAAAACCTAGTTTGAAGGTAGATGCTGGAACACAGACCTAGACCAATGTTTTTCATATTGCATGTTGTGGCTGCTCAGTGTCCTGAAATCAACTTTTGACTAATGACTAATCAACTAATGACTAATATTTTTAAACTATGAAAGAGATTAATCAAAGTGATTGCACACTGGGAAGTGTACTTTGTGAAACTTTTCTATTTTGTTTTATAATACATATACATAACTTTTCTATTCAGTTTTATAATACATATATATAACTTTTTTATTTTGTTATATAATACAAACACATAGATTTACACATCCTCATTCTCAATATTAAACTCAAAACAACTCAGAAAAGTCTTTTGTAAGTTTGATGTAAAAAATCAATAGTCAATAAAATCTGACCTGAAAGATCACAAGCTACTTAAAGCCTTTATTTCCCCCATTTATTACAGGGGAAAACAACCAGTGAATACAGTAAAATACCACCATATATAACCATAATAATAACAGGTATACTACATTCAGTTACTGACTGGCACACAGGCCATATTATTTTTTAAGCGCAAAAAATTTAAAATCACCTCTGGATCTAAGAGTTTGGAATAGGAATTAAAAATTTTTCTAGTTTTCTTCTTTAATTTTGCTTGTTTGGATTTTTCTTGGGTTTTTTTTTTTAAACTTTACATTTTAGGAGTTATAAACTTTTGAATATAAATTCACATAGTGTATGTACATATACTTATGTCACAATGGAAATCACAAGCCAAAAACATCTGTAATTCACTGCTGTTGTTATGTGCCATCGAGTCGCTTGCGACTCACAGCAACCCTATGTACAACAGCCCTAAAACCCTGCCCTATCCTGTGCCAATCGCACTTCCTCTGACACACCCATCCCAATTACCCCAGTCACTGAATCAATTCACCTCAGAGGGTCTTCCCCTCTTGCGCTGTCCCTCTACCCTACCAAGCATGATGTCCCTCTCCAACGATCTGTCCCTCCTTACAAACATGTCCAAAGTATGACAGACGAAGCCCCAGAATCCTTGACTCCAAGGAGTAGCCTGGTTTAACCCTCTCCAGGATGAACCTGTTTGTTTTCTTGGCAATCCATGGTACATTCAATTCTCTTCTCCAGCACCACAACTCAAAGGAATCAATTCTCCTTCTATCCTCCCTAGTCATTGTCCAGCTCTCTGATGCGTAACAAGTGATTGCAAAGACCATGGCCTGTATCAGACACACCTTAGTCTCCAGAGACACACCGTTGCTCTTGAGTAATTTAAAGAGGTCCCTAACAGCAGACTGTTCCATTGCAATATGTTTTTTTTTAATTTCCTGGCTGCTGGTGCCAAAACTGTTGACTGTGGAGCCGAGCAAACTGAAGCTGTGAACAATCTCAATCTCTTTGCATCCATCCTGATGCTGCCAACTGGTCCAATGGTGAGAATCTTTATCTTCTTGACATTGAGCCTCAGTCTAGTAAGTCTAGTGATCTTCATAAATTCTTATGAAAAATGTCCAAAATCTCTGTAAATTTTCATTAAAAATAATAATAATAATAAAATTATTGGCAAAAAAAGGTGATTCTACTTTATACCTTGGAATTTTCTCCTGTATTTTAAATTTTAATTCTTCTTACTTTTTTAAAAAATGAATAGGTTTTATGTGTTCCTTCAGGGTTAGAGTCATAGAAAAAAGGAGCTGAAAGTATGTAACAGTTGCAGCAGAGTTTATTCCTACTCAGAGTGACTACAGGACTGGATAGGAACTGCCACACAGGGGTTCCAAAGCTGTAATCTCTACAAAAGCAGATTGCTACATCTTTTTCCCCACAATGGGGTTGGTGGTTTCAAACTGTTACACTCTCATGTGCGACAAGGGCTCCTTAGAAACTACCAAGCCCCAAAATGACTGGTACTGAATGATGCTCATGGAGACTCACCATCAGATTTCTAAGGGTGTGAATTTTAATGGGATGAGACTACCTCAATTTTTTCTTGCACAGCAGAGCAACTAATGGCCATAAATCCAACTATTAACCTACTATGTTACAAGGGCTCCTTCCTCAAAAAGCACACTTTCTCTACAACCAGGAGAAGATAAAACAGATGAATGGGAACTTCTAAGAATCAACTTATACACATCCAAAACCTTCTCCAACAGGGTAAAAAGTGAAGCCACGGACGGGGAAAAAGTATTTGGTAATGACCTGTCAGGTATGGAACTTATATCTAGAACTTATAAAATACTTGAGCACCACAAGATAAATCCAATTGAAAAATGGGCACAGGATATGAACAGATACTTCATCAAAGAAGACATTCAGACGGCCAACAAGCACATGAAGAAATGTTCAAAATCCCTAGCTCTAAGAGAAATGCAAATCAAAACAACTATGAGATATCATCTCACCCCAGTCAGATAGCAAAATTTAACAGAACAGAAAGCAACAAATGCTAGTGAGCTTGTGGAGAAACTGGAACCTTTATTCACTACTGGTGGGAGTGTAAAATGGTGCAACCACTGTGGAAGGCAGTATGGCACTTTCTCAAAAAGTTGCAAATAGAGATACCAATCCCACTACTGGGAATATATCCCAAAGAGACCATAACTGACATCCAAGAAGACACATGCACACCCATGTTTATCACAGCTTTGTTCACAATAGCAAGGAGTTGGAAACAACCTAAGTGCCCATCAACAAACGAATGTATAGAGAAGCTGTGGTATATTTGCATAATGGGATACTACAGTGCATTGAAAAACAAGGAACTCATGCAATATTATTCAAAATGGGTGACCCTAGAGGACATTAATTATGCTGAGTGAAATATCTCAGTCACAAAAGGACAATTACTGCATGGTGCCACTGTTGTAGAATGAGACTGACATCAGGGTTGGGGTAAGACTGAGAAAAACTGGATAAATTATGTATACTGTATTGAAACAGATATGGGAGAGAACAATTTAAAAGCGATATATTATAGGGTATTATGATTATCACAAGAGTCCAGAATTAAGGTTGAATAGTGGAGTGTACTGGGGCAGTGGTGGGGTGTATATACCAATGAAAGACTTTTTCTCTTACTTTTCAAAGAGAGGAGTGAACTGCTTGGGAGCGCTGGGTAGGGAGAAAAGTGCAACGATGAATGAATGGAAATCCAAAATCTCTAAATGTTCATTAAAATTAATAAAATAAAAATTTTTTTAAAAGGAGACATAAAAAAAAAAGGCAGTTTCCAAATAATCCCTACTCCTGCACACTAATTAGTAAAATCTTGCACTGGTGTGGTACATTTGTTACAACTGATGAACCAGTATGGATACATAATTATTAATTAGCTGCTGCTGTCATTTGCCTTCAAAGCAGGAACCAACTCATAGCTGACCCCTAGGGGATTTTCAGAGGCAGTAAATCGCATAGGAGGCGACTACTCATCTCTCCAGCAGAGTACCTGGTGGACTGAATTGCATACCTTTGCATTCATAGTGCATCTCTTTACCACTAGGCTACAGAGTTCCTTAATTATTACCTGGAGATCACAGTGTATACGAGATTCTTCTCTCTGTATTGTAGTATCACTTTACTTTTAAGACCACTTCTTGTTCTGAAGCACTAGATATTAGCCATCATTTAGGAATGACCTTTAAATTCAACACAATATCTGAAGTCTAGACCATTTCTCAATCTTTTTTCCAAAGTCTAAAGAATTAGGAGGGGGGTAGAGATGGGGGTGGGTGGAGTAAAGCATGCTAATCATTGAAGGGAGAGTTAAGAGGGGCTTACCACAAACTTACCTTCAGCAGGTTTAGAACTTTCTTGCCAAGATCCAGTTCAAAGTTGGCATAATTAGAACCACCCATATCATAGATAAACACCAGTCCATTTCTCTGAGTTTCAAAGCTGTGAGCCAATCATAGAACAAAAACATCTGTAAGTAATAAGATGAAACCTGCGGCAAACCCACTTATGGGACATATTTGAGAGCAAAACGACTGCCTTCCTGAACTCTGGTCTTACAAAAGAGATTGAACTGCTATGCTTATTGATGCAGATTCAAAACTTCCAGGTGGAGAATATTCTAGAGCAACTGCAGTTATTTTGTTGTTATGTGCCATCCAGTCGCTTATGACTCACAGCGACCCTATGGACAACAGCACTGAACCCTGCTCTATTCTGGGTCAATCATACTGTCTCTGACACACCTACCCTCATTACCCCAGTCACTGAGTCAATCCATCTCATCAAGGGTCTTCCTCTCTTGCACTGTTCCTCCACCCTCTCAAGCATGATGTTGCTCTCTAAGGACTGATCCCTCCCTCCTTGCAATTTTCCCAATGTCAGAAGATTCAGAATCTTTGCCTCCAAGGAGCAGTCTGGTTTCACCCTCTCTAGGAAGAGCCTATTTGTTCTCCTACCAGTCCACGGTATATTCAATACTCTTCTCCAGCACTACAGCTCAAAGGCATCAACTCTCCTTCTATAATCCCTAAATCATTGTCCAGTTCTCTGACACATAGTAAACAATTGTGAAGACTATGGCCTGGATCAGGAGCACCTTAGTCTCCAGACTGACCTTGTTGCTCTTCAGTACTCTGGAGAGGTCCCTGACAGCAGACTTTCCCAGTGCAATTTGTCTTTTAATTTTCTGGCTGCTGATACCAAGAGTGTTAATTGTGGAGCCAAGCAAACTGAAGCTGTTAACAATCTCAATCTCTTCACTGTCTATCATGATGGTACTAAATGGCCCACTGGTGAGAATCTGTCTTTTTGATGTTGACCTTTAATCCATATTAAAGACTGTAGTCCTTGACCTTCCGCAGCAAGTGCTTCATGTCTTCCTCAGTTTCAGCAATGTAGGTTGTGTCATCTGCATAATGCAGGTTGCTGATTAAGTCGTCCTCCAATCCTGTTGCCAAATTCCACCTAACAGAGCCCAGCAGCTTCCTGGAAGATGAGTTCTGCATATAGATTGAAATGGTATAGAGCTAGGACACATCCCTGGCGTATCTCCTTCTCAATTTTGAATCATGAAGTGTTTCCTTGCTCTGTTCTTACAACTGCTTCCTAGTCCAAGTATTAAGTTTTGCATAAGCACAATCAAATGTCCTGGGATTCCCATTCTTCTCAGAGTTAGCCACAGTTTGTTGTTATCCACACAGTCAAATGTCTTTGCACAGTTAACGTAACACAGACATTCCTCTGGTACTCTCTGCTTTCAGCCACGATCCATCTAAAATTAGCTATAATATTTCTAGTACCACGGCCTCTTCTAAACCCAGCCTGCACATCTGGAAGTTCTCTGCTGATGTGTTGTTCCAGTCATTTTCGGCTAATTTTCAGCAGAATCTTGTTTGCATGTGATAGTAATGATATTGTTTGCTACATTTTTGCACTCTATTAGGACACCTTTCTTTGGAATGAGAATACTGATCTGTCTTCCATTCAGTTGGCCAGGTAGTAGGTAATTAAAAATTTGAACACTTGCCCCTCCCACTCATCTACGATTACCTAATTCTATACATTTTTCATTGCTCAACTCATAGTTTCCTCTTCCATAAAGATATTTCTGATTATTAGTCAAACGTACATTTTATACCTTTTCTGAAGTCCCATAAATCTTCCTATTGATTATGTGTGTGGCTTTAACATACTCCAACTTTGTGTAACTACTTTGTTCTCCCCTAGAGGGCAGACACTTAATCCATTCAACTAATTATCCCCAGCAGTCTGCAGCACAGGCCTTGCAAATAAGAACACAGTGAATAGTGATTTATAATTCAATGGACTGAAAAAACTATTGCTAAGATAGTATTTCATACCAATTCCCATTGGTATGGAGCTATACAGAACAGACTTCGCTTTGGCTCACTAATGGTTAATGCTTCTCTTATGACTTCTAAGGAGGAAGAAGATCTCCTAATGAGCTTTGGAAAGCACCTTAAAAAATAGATTAAGAAGTGGTGTGAGCCTTTTCCTAGACAGAGCTGAGGAACTAAGGAATGTGTAAAAACACAAAAAGTATTCCTCCTCAGTCCTGAGAGTTTTACTCTTCTACCAAGCCAGATCCCTATGTGCATACTATCTGCATATTCGAACGGTCATTAATAATTTATTTTGTTGTACTTGTCACAGTTGATAACAATAGTTTTCACAGTTATTAACAAAGGCAAAACTTTCTGGGCACAAACTTCATTCTTGAAATCAAAGACATTACTGGTGTTTTGTATCCTAATTTTTTTGTATCATCACCTGGAAATCTTATGCCTTCATCTTTTTAACAACATTTAATAGCTACCAACTCATGACGTTACATTTTAAAAATCTCTAGTTCTTAAGTAATCCAAGTTTTCCCAGCAGGCTTAGTTACAAACAGTTCCTAATATAGTTAATGTTAAATCATAACATCTCTTCTACAACTCAATGACCAAACAAGATCCAAGGTGCTGTTAAATATATAGGGCAAATACGGATTATTCACATCCAGAGACTGCATTTCTCCATGAGCTCACCAAGTACCAAATTCAAGGAATTCTGTTTTTCTCTTCAAAATGCGCCAGTCTATGGAAAGTTTTTGTCATGGAAAGAGAGTTTATTAAAGTGAAAACAAACCAAAAAAAGATGCAGTTTTGGTGCCTTCAGTATTTCTAGATCTCAACACGGAATATACATGTACAATAGGATTTTCACCTTCCTGGGTACAAAATATGAGGTTTGTGATGATAAGTGATCATTTCTCTGTAAAAATGATTCAAGAAACTAGATCTGAAAACCAGGCGCTCCAGGAAACACCAAATATTTAGTCCTTAACATGTTCAAAACAATCAAGGGTAGGCTAGGGGTCATCAGTGTAAGAAGTAGAACAATAGGTATTCAGAGGCTTAGATTTTTCCCTATCAGTCTATATATTAAATATTCCACTGTATGCTAAAACAAACAAACAAACAAACAGGTTTCTGCCCTCAGAGAGTGTACAGTCTACTGATATAGGATAAACTGAATAGCAGTATAAAATAAACATCATAAGGCCATGTATCATTATGAATGGTATCGATATAGCTTTTTTATATTGGTATTGATAGCAACTGCTATTGGGTCAAAGAACAAGATTGTTATTTACGACAGGTTGGAGAGATGAGGGAGGTCATCTGTACTTAGGTCTGAAGGAAAGGACAGTACTTAGTCAAGAAGGAGGGAGAAGGAAAAACATCCTGATTCAAGGTAACATAAAAACCAACGATAAATTTTGCTTGAAGGAGAGGGTTTACACTTGAATAGTTTTTATGTACTCTCAATAATGAGGAGCCATTGAGGACTTTATGAAAAGGACAGACAATATGAAAGTAAAGTTTTAACTGTGTTCTTGTGAGATCCAATACTCACAGTGGAAAGAGAACCTTTGACCAATGAAAGCTATTCCTGATTGAGAACACTGACTCTCTCCGCATCCTAAGGGGGAAGGTCAATACCAGGTTTTCTGGGGGAAAAGGCCTTCATTCATTCCCCTGAGCTAAGATCAGTCACAGAGAGGAACTGTTGAGAAATACCACACTTTTGCTTAGGGAGGACAAGGCTACTGAGACATAGTCTCATCCCTTAAAAACTTTTCTTTTATAAACAAGTGTATGGTCTGGATAGAACCCCCACTGAGCTTCAACAGCAGAAGTCAACCATTACGAAAGTAACGTAAACAAGATAGCAACAAGTCAACAGGACACAGAGCCCCTATGTTGGGCAGTCCTTTGGCTTTTCCCAAGTCTATGAAAGTTGTACACAGCTCTGACTATCTGTGTAAGCCTTCAATATACTGCTTCTAACCTAGTATACTAGCCAATGATAGGAAGAACTGTAACAAACTGTAAATGTCAAGCACCAGGGAAAAGAAAGTGGGACAGAAGAGCACTATAGTGTAGTGTAGTAGGGTACAAACAGCTCTGGTCAGGTGCCAACAAAGCAGGATCTAGACTCCACTGTAATAACAGGAAGACTCACACAGCATATTAGGACTTTAGTATCTTTGTTTACAGACTAGGTCTAATACCATTTACTTTAGAGAGACATGAAAAGATGACTTGAGTTGGGTTCTTTTTGTATAGGCCCCTATTTAAAAACATGATTTTGCTTTTGGACTCTTCTCCCTGAATGCTAATTATCAAAATCCTCTGAATAAAGGGCATTAATTCTATTTACAGAGAAAGAAACTGAGGTCAAAGAAAGAAGTTTGGGGGTATATGTGTGTGTAGGGGGTTTGTGTGTGTGAGAGACAAAGATAGTGATCCAAACGAAAGTTTACAAAGCAAATTGGTCTTCCATGGCACAAGAGAGTTTGATAATTAAAGTTCAGGGCAGAATGGGCAGTAAGAGCTAGCAAAACTTAGCTCCCCTTAATTCTTTCCCTGTAATTCTAACTACACAATGATTGCTAATAACTGGCCTTCTCAGCATGCTATCATGAAACTGACTCAGTAACTTACCTAGAAGTCACTCATTCACTCATTCATTGCCATCAAGTCAGAACAGACTCAAGCTGACCTTCCAACAGATGAAAATCATAGGCTGTAAACTGCATGAGATAAGATTGCCTATCCTTTACTTATGCAGCCACTGGTGGATTCGAACTAGCAGAGAGATGCCTTTGGGATAGCAGCACAAATACCTACCAACTCCACCACCTGGATGTACACTATCTGAAAAATAATCTCCATACTCACCTATCCACAGCTCTGTCTAGCAAGTAAAACAGAGCCTGAAGTACCACATGTTGGACAGACTTGTGGGGATGATGCAGCCTGGCAGTGAAGAGGGCAATGGAGGCTCCTGTTGGGTCTCGAACATTCTAAAACAAACAAAAAGAAAAATATTTAGAAATTAAAATAGTAAATCTTAGAAAACAGTTGCTATGGATTCTTATATCCCAGAAAAAGGTTCAATATGTGAAGAGATACTGAGAACATGTATCAATTTCTTTAGAAAGTAAAAGAAAGTTTATACCATCCCATGCTCGTTTCTCTAAAGAGCCCCTTGGACAATATCCCTGTGGTAGAAAAACATCACCTTGTCTTTTGTCTTCACCTAGAGAGAGATCTAAGGAAAGTTCTAAACTGGCTGCCAAACTAACTCTCCAGGAGGATGGCAAATTAAAAAGCAGCAAGAGAGAACCATAGAATCTCTACATTCAGGATAAGATATTCAGGAACAAAGTCAAAACAGGACAAGTGAAAAAAAAAGTGATGCAGCAATGTAACAGGGTCTGTGAAGACTCACTAAGATGGTGAACTTTCCACTAAGGATCTCAGAACGGAGAGGTTCTTCATGAGGTTTCAGCTTTACAATGCCTTCCTTCCTTCGAGTTTCCTAGAAATGAAATGTAGCAGGGTGAATTAATATTAAAATACCAGATCATCACAAGAGTTTCATGTTATCACTAGACCTCAGAAATAAGAGATTTTAGAAGTCAACTAGCTGAACCATAAATCCCTTGATAAAGTCACTTCCAGGCCATTGTGTGTGATTAGAATTCCTGCCCAACTTCACCTTATCAGTTCCCTAAGTAATTTTCTCTGCCTCAATTAGACCAATAAATACCATTAGGGAATTGATAAAAGTTCTGAATATATGCAGCAGTTCCTAACTCTGCCCCAGGAAATAGAAATATCGGCCTAAAAATTATCTGGAGGCATACATCACATCCTCACATATTTATCTTAAACAGCCTCCTCCTCCATTCTATGTCCTCTCTAATAAGAGTTACTACAACCTCATTTACCTCATTTCTTTAGCCATATTTGGATAAATTTACTATGATTTGATTTTACAAGTTGGTTTACATTCAACAACTCACAAACATTTTGTTTTATGACATTAATTGCAATGCCCACAATGTAACAGAACTGCACTCTTCCTAATTCCTCCCAATGATAGTTATTTCCTTAAGTCTTCCTATCCTACCCCTCCCTGATTTCTGAGCTTTATTCTTAGGCAAATGCAGCCACATAGGTTGGTTATTCTACAGAGTGAGTGGCTCCCTGCTGTTATTGTTCACTTTATAGGTCTATCTATAGTTTGGCTGAAAGTTGAGCCAAAGCAGTTAGCATTGTTCCAGGTCTGAAGGGTGACTAAGGCTCACAATCTTGAAAACCCATCAGTCTCTATCAGACCAGGACACTTAGTTATTATTTTAGGTTTTTGTGTTTGGCTACACGTTTTTTTGTCCACGCTATCCAGGCACCATCTAGCTCTTCTTGCCCCAGCGTTGTAGGGGGTTGAGGTTTGCATGGTCCATCAGTCCTTCGGACCATTGGCTTTCTTCCCTCATCTTTGTTGCAGATGGGAAGAAACCAACAGCTGTACTTTATGTCGTTGTTTGTAAGCTTTGATGACCCTAACCACATTTCACCAAAGCAATATGAAGAAAATTGTCTCTGTGAATTATGTTATGCCAACCGATCTTGATGTCCTCTAGTCTATATCCTTTGAGGCCCTAGGACCATCAACTTATTCCCTTAAGGTGTTTGGCGATAATTTAGAAGCTTAGATAACTTTGCCCCCTGTCGGCTCTGCTATAAACATGGATATTTACTTACAGGACATACTAACACAAATGTAGAAATTTCATCTGTCAAAATCATGTATGGTGATGGGTGTAGTAATCTCTTTAATCTGTACTTAGCTATACTCTTTAGAACTCACTTTAGTTTGCTCCTCCTCCACTCACTGTATTCTTGTTTCCTCACAATCCAACTATTTCGCTGATAGCTTTGTTCAGGACTTTTGTCCTATAATGTCTATCACTAAGCCCAGTGGACATTTTGAATCTTTTTTTACATGACAAAGTTGATTCCCTTCTTGATTATTCTATATCTTTGACTATCATGACAATAAGAAAATACTCCTGGTTATGCCATTTCTTCAGTCTTTTTTGTGAGCTTTCTCCCATTCGCTTCCTCCTCAACTCACTTATAACCCATTTGGCTCATGCATTCACTCACCCTACAAACATCGTAGGCCATCAATTATTTGTCTAGTACTAAGTAAACTTTCAGAGAAGACCTGGTGGCCTAGTGGTACGGAGTTGTGCTTCCAAGCCAAATGCACAAGGTTAGAATCCAGCAGGTGCTCTGAGGGAGAAAGATAAGCAATTTCTTCCTGTGTAATTAACAGCCTCTGAAAACTGGCAGAGGGTCGGCTATGAGATGATTCCAATATGATGGCACACAACAAGCAGAAGTAAATGACAGGTACACTCTAGTGAATAAAAACTAGATCTCTTCTAGATTTCTTCCCCAATTCATGATTAAAATTCCAAATCTTTACTAACAGTAAGATAGTAATAATGGGATTTATACCTAAAACATTTTGATTCAACTTTAAAAATAATATTGGACCAATGAAAGAAAAAAGTCTGGAGGTTCTACCTTACACATCATCCTACTCATTTTCCTTGAATTCAGTCTCATGACTTCACTATTCAGCTCTACTTTGGTGACTCCTAAATCTTTTTTCAGTAAACTAGACTGAGATATCTGATAACTACAAAGTTGTTATTATGTGCTGTCAAGTCACCAGCAACCCATCATGACCCTATGTACAACAGCTCTGAACCATGTCTAACCCTAAATCAATCTCATTGTTTCTGATACACCTAACCCGACTGCCCCAGTTATTGTGTCAGTCCATTTCCTCCAGAGTTTTCGTCTCTTGCACTGTTCTCCACTCTTCCAAGCATGACATCCTTCTCCAAGGACTGGTCGGTCCTTCCTGGCAACATGTCTAAAGTATGCCAAATGGACCTTCAAAATCCTTGCCTCCATGGAGCAACTTGGCTTCACTCTCTCTAGGACAAACCTGTTTATTCTCTTGGCAGTCCACTGAATGTTCAATACTCTTCTCCAGTACCATAACTCAAAGGCACTAATTTTTCTTCTGTTATCCTTAATCACTATCCAGCTCTCTGATGCACAGTAAGTAATTGCAAAGACCATGACCTGTGTTAGGCGCACCTTAGCTACCAGACTGACATCACTGCTCTTTAACTACTATGCAAAGAACATGTCTACTCAGTTATATCGAAGGTATTTCAAATTTACCACAGCTAAAATAGAACTCTAGGAAGCTCTGGTGGCTTAGTAATAAGGAGTTAGGCTGCCAACCCAAAGGCACACAATTCAAATCCACCAGTTGCACTGCAGGATAAAGACAGGCAATCTCTACCTGTGCAATTAACTGCTCTGAAAACTTGTTAGAGGTCAACTATGACTCATCTCTGACTTAAGAGTACTCACAACAATAACAAAAATAGAATTTATTACCTTCTCTCTACCTACTGGTATGGTGTCCCCTGAATCAGTGAATGCTGCCACCAATTATCCTGCCATCCTTACCTGGATGAGACCTAGAATCCTTACCTCTTCTTTCCTCATGCACCAATTTAAACAACCCTGTCCTATTAATTTCATTTATCTAGAATCTGTCCATTTCTCTCCATCTCTTCTGATATTACTCAATGAAACCACAATCATTTCTGCCTAAGTACAACAACCTTCTATAACTAGTCTTTCTGCTTCCAGTCTAGCCATTCTGATCCAATCTCTACAATACAAAGAGAAGAAAACTTTGAAGAATGCAAACATGATCCCATCATTCTTGTTTATAAAAGCAAATACTCCTGAATCTGGCCTTGTTCACCATTGCTGACTAATTTTTTGGTAGTCCCCACTTCACACCAACAGTCTTACCCAGTAGACTTTCTCTTGTCACTGAGAATTTGAACTCCCTGTTTTTCCTACCACGCTCCCCAACCTATCTGATTCCTACTCATCCTTCTTTACATCTTAACTTGGAAGTTATTTTCTTCAAAAAGCTTCCATGAATCTCCTAACTAAATGTGCTTCCAAAGAACATAGTATTGCCCTATCATTTACCATACATAGTTCTGCAATTGTTTATTTAATCTGATTTTCTAAAGAATAATCTGTGCCTATAACACACAGTAAACATATATGGAATAAATTAATGACTACTGAATATGTTTACCAACAAGGTAAATGTAAATGAGCTTTGCTCTTAAACTACTCTTAATGTTTATTAACTATTGTTTGTTGTTTTGGTTTTGTTTTTAAATTTAGGGATATCTTGTGTCTCCTCAGAAAAATATTCTAACTCTTTGGTGCCCAGCCTGGAGGCAAGAAGCTGTGCTGCAATCCCAAAGGCATGTGGTTCAAGGCAACCACCTGCTTTGTGGGAGGATGGGCAATCTCCTCAGCCATGTGATTTATTGCCTCTGAAAACTTGGCTCCAACTCAACGGTAAACAACAATAAGAACAACATGCTTAACATGCCACACAGTGTTCTATTAAGGACACTGTCAAATGGGAAAGTAAATACAGAAGCAAAGTCAATACTCCCTCAAGAAACCAAAAATAACAGAAGATTTAAAAAAAAAACAAAACACCAAAGTAACATGCTTCACATCTATAAGCATAAAGGTAATGTTAAGACAACAGACTAGCTAACATAATTGCTTCTTTCTTACCGGTCTAAGTTCTTCTTTCTGAACCAAAATGCCTACTAAACATTTATCTGAATGGCAGGTTTCTAGAAACTCCAGCAATCCTGGAAACCAGTAGAGCAAAAGGAGTATGTGGCCAAAGGCCCGTGAAGAGAGCTGGAACTCTACCTCTAGGAAATGTGTACTAGTTATCATGCCAGCAAGATGATGTCAGACAATTTCCTTTTAGTTTCCATCATTAGAAGTGATATAAACCGAAACCCACTGCCACTGAGTTGATTTTGACACACAGCAACTGTCCACTGGGTTTCAGAGTATAAATCTGATAGGAGAACACTAACCTTTCAGTTAGTAGTGAACATGATGAAATGAATGTGAACGAAACCTTAACACACTCTATGTCACCAGAGCTCCTGAGAGGTGGCATACCACTCTCCAGTCGTAACTTTGTAGCGCCTTCTAAGGGCTGCCAAGCTCCTTATTAGTGAGACTGAAGATCTTCTCTTAGGAGAGAGAAGGCACTTAGAGAACTGTAATAACACAATATAATGGTACAGCTTCTGTATTGCTGAGCAACATACCCTGTAAGAGTGGAATAACTCTATGGCGCGGAGCACATCAAATTTCCTGGCCATGAGGAACTTGACAGCCACATTCCAAGAGAGTGGAGAGACATTGTACTGAACTGTCCACTTGTTAATCTCTTCAAGAAACTGCTTGGTGGCCTGTTGACAAAGAAAGAACAATTAGTAAGAAGATAACATCTTCATGGGACCAAAACCACACAAAATGTATAACCCTTTCCCTAAGTAAGACTAAACCCAAAACTTATCACAGGGAAATAGGAACATGGAAACCATTCTGAAACTCAAAGGAGATAAAATACTACAAAACACTGAGGCCAGAACCAGATTCAGAGAGTAGGGCCTACCACAAAGAATGAAAAAAAAGAAAAAGCAATGAAGAGAAAAACCAGGGTACCCAAGTGAGGTACAAATTATTGGATTTAAAATGGAAAAACAAACAGAAAGTTTGTTATTCTTACTGTTGGTTTGTTGGGTTTTATGGGGGGAAGAGAGATGAGATTGGGCCCTTGGAAGAGTTACTACATAATGCATAGCAATCTTAACTGCTCCTTTGGCCCCACAAGCCAAATGAGAAAACAAAAAAATCAAAATGGGTTTGGCTTTGGAATTAACAGGACGATTCTGTTGTTGTCAGGTGCTGTCAAGTCAAGAACGACCCATATGACCCTATGAACAACAGATCTGAACCCTATCCTATCCTATCCTAGCCTATCCTATCCTATCCTATCCCATCCTCATACTTCCTGACACACCAGAGCCCACTGTGGCAATCACTGTTTTAATCCACCTGGTTGAGAGTCTTTCTCACCTTTGCTGACACCCCATCTTTCCAAGTATCATGTCCCTCTCCAAGGAATACCCCTGCCTAGCAACATGCCCTAAGTATGTGAGGTGAAGCTTTATCATCTTTACTTCCAAGGAGCACTCTCGTATTTTCTCCAAGACATATTTATTCTTTTGGCAGTCCATGGGATATTCAGAACTCTTTTCCAACATCACACAGTTCAAAGACACCAATTTTTCTTCTGTAAACCTTATTCATTGTCCAGTTCTCAGATGCATGCTAAATGATCAGAAAGACCATGGAATGAAGCAGATATAACTTAGCCTTCAAACTCACTCATTACTCCTCAAATCATCTGAAGAGGTCCCTGACTGTAGACTTTCCCAGTACAATAGATCTCCTGACTGCCTGACTGCTGGGACCAAGGGTGTGGTGAGGATCCAAGTGATGTGAAGTTGTTGACAGTTTCAATTTTTTTTCTCCACCTATCATAATGCTATCAGTTCAGTGGTAAAAATTTTTGCTTTCTTGATGTTGATATGCAACCCATACGGAAGGCTGTATTCTTTGATCTTCTGCAACAAGTGCTTCAAGTCCTCCTCACTTTAAGCAAGAAAAGTTGTGTCATCTGGATAACACAGGTAACTGATGCCACATTCTTCCTCACAGAGTCAAGCTTCTCAAATAATTTGTTCAAGATACAGATTGAATAGGTATGGAGAGAGCATGTAACCCTGATGCACTCTCACCTTAATTTTAAGCCATGTAGTGTTCCCTTGCGCTGTTTGCACAACAGCCTCTTGGACCAAGTATAGGTTTCACAGGAGCACAATTTAATGCTCTGGAATTCCCATTCTTCTCAATATTAGCCATAAGTGTCATGAGTCACACAGTCAAATGCTTCTGCATAGTCAATAAAAACCTAAATAAAGAATTTTAGAGCAGCAAAATTAATAGGACGTTTTGACAAAAGAGTAACTGTTCTTTGATCTGACTGACCCCACAAGGCTTGTTCATGCCTCACAAGGCAGTCATGCTAGTGCTCACAAGATCATTAACAGCTCCTCTAGATAATGGATCAAGGTAGCAAAATAGCTATGCTCAGCTGCTAACAGAAAGTTTGGCAGTCTGTTGGATAAAAGAAATGGTGATCTGTGCTTATAACAGTTACAGTCCAGGAAACACTTTACAGTTCTGCTCTGTCGTACAAGGTTGCTATGAGTCAGAATTAAGGAGCTTTGGTGGTGCAGTGATTAAAGAACTCAAACACTTGCCAAAAGGTCAGTTGCTCGATGGGAGAACGACGAGTGGATCTACCTCTGTAAATATTTTATTGCCTGAGAAACCTGTGCCTTATTGGGTCACTATGAGTTGGAATTGACTTGATGGCAGTTGGTTCTATTTTGAGTAAGAATCGACTCTATGACACCCAACAACAGCACAACAGCTAGTAATATAAAATTTTCACTATCTGATGACAAGTTGGCAAGATGTCTGTTTCTAGAACTGTTCTTATCTGTAGATTAAATCAGGTTCTTTTATACTCTTTTGCCCTACTACAGTCAATTTCTGCTCTAGCCAAACATTTTAGTATAATTTAAAATAGGCAACTCCAAGCAACAAATGCTGGCGAGGTTGTGGAGAAACTGGAACCCTGATTCACTGTTGGTGGGAGTGTAAAATGGTGCAACCCCTGTGGAAAGCAGTA